TGAAATGGTCCAATAATCCAGATCAAAGGTCATCATGAGTTTTTGCATAAACTGTGTTTGTCTAAATGTTGCCACTGCAGTTCCAACTATTTAAAAAATGCACACACGTTAATGTGCAGTACCAGTCAAGAGTTTGGACACACCTTCTCATTCAAAGGTTTTTATTTATTTTAATTCTTTTCTACATTGTAGATTAATACTGAAGACATCAAAACTATGAAAGAACACATATGGAATTACGTAGTAAACAAACGAGTTTTAAATAAACCAGAATATTATGTATACCTCACGAAGCCGACTGAGAGAAGCCGAGTGTGCAAAGCAAAGGCAAAAGGGGGCTACTATGAAGAATCTCAAATATAAATCCTATTCTGGTTTAACACTTTTGTTCTTTTAGAGTTGTGATGTCTTCAAAAAGAATAACACATAAATAAAAACCTGTGTGTGTATCCAAACTTTTGACTGCGACTGTATATAAACATTTCTACTTTAAAAAGTTGATCATCTCTAACTTTAGCATGCATAGCGCAGTTCCAGTTTATTGCCATGTATGTAAATGAAGCCTTTTTAGGGTCAGTTTCTTTCTTCCTCTGCCGGCTTTTTCCTTTTTAGTGTCTGCATCAATGCAAGTTGCTTTTTTCTAAAATGAAGCTCTGCTGCAGCTCTGAATATCTTCCATTAGAGCAATGTGGATGTGCAGCGGTGGTCAGAGCCTGTTGGCACTGTGACAACTTTCATGCCTTCATCAAAGGTGGTGGAGCTTCAGAAGCCGAACAGGCCTCCTGCCAGCAGAGCTCCGCCTCAGAGCCAGACCATAGCTTTGTGAAGTCTTTGAAACAAAGGTCCTAATCAGAGGCTGTGTCTCCGGCCCTGAGCGGCTTCACCTCCACACCGCAGCACATTAAACCCTCCGTGGTCAAATCTGAGAACGTTGCAGCATGCCAAGGTCAGGGATTGTCTTAAAACTGTTAGAAATCCCCGACACTTAAAAAGAAAGTATGTTTTCTAGCTTCTCTGGCCACTCTTCAGATCTCTCTGTTTTATTTTTTGTGGGAAGCATGTCCTAATCATAGTCTTTAGAAACCTTTAATGTGACCAGATGTAATAATAATACATGTAATTTGTATAGTGCTTTTCCTAATGCTCAAAGACGCTTATTATGTCATTATATTTAGACTAGATGTGGGAAGTCAAGTATTTAAATGCTTACCAGTGTGCACAAGGGGAGGCTCTAAGTATTGAACAGTTAAAGGTAATGTTCATTGAAGATTCAAAGGTTTTAATGTCTTACGCACATACTGTAAGCTACAGTGTAGAAATGGCAATGACCCGAGCTCCTCCAACGAGGCAACAAAGTGATATAATAAAATACAAAAATACAAATAAAAAATAGTGCAAGAAGTCTCTACTCTACACACGTAACTAGAATATGATACAAGAACAGAATGTAAAATTAAATATTGTACAGTAAGATAACATTAAATATGGTTTGTTACAGTGCTAACTATTTAGATTAATAAATAAATTGCAAGATGACAAACAGATGAATGTTTATGGAGGCATGAGGAGCTCCTGAATGTCGTAAACACATGTCCAAATATCTAATGTGTCATTACAGGAAATGACTCTTAACACAGCTATAGAACCTGACTCATTCAGTGATACTTCAACATAGAATATTTAAGCAATAGCTCACGACAGGAGCTATTGCTTTTATAAAACGGTTACCAAGTGTGGCAATGTGAAAGAAAAATACACACTCTTTAAATAGTTTTTATTAGTAAATAATGATGTTCAAAATAAAATAGTCCCTCCGTTGCCTTCTGCACGAAACATAGTGCGAGGTGGTTGCTATGCAACAACACTAACAGCTAGCGAACATATTACACAGAGAGCGTTGATCCATTATTTAGCTATTTACATTAATGTGTATGTTGCCGTTTATTGTGCAGCCACTGAAAACCTGTCCAGCATCAGCAGCATGGCTTACGTGGTTACTTGTATAGGCTGAGGTTGTTCTAGGCTGTTGCTTTGCGTGGAGAGAATATTGCTCCACTTTCTCCGGTCCCTGAGATTGGGCTTCCAGTAGCTCTGGAGAGAGCTTTCTCACCTGTGGCCACTATCGGTCATCATTTCTCTGCTTTCAAGACCCGCATCAGAAAGCTTTTGAATGGTGGTACTTCTCCAGTTGGTCTACCTGCTCTTCACGATGCTCTGCATGTCGTCGTGTAGGTGCTCTCTGGAGATAGGCACTGCTCAATCCACTCCTCCATAGTAAGACCCCCCCCCCCTCAATCCACTCCTCCATAGTGAGACCCCCCCCCCCTCAATCCACTCCTCCATAGTGAGACCCCCCCGGAGGTCCAAGTTAACCTTACATGTTTCCATCTTGAGCTTTGTTAGTTACTTAGTTTCCTAACGGACGTAATGTAACAGCTGTAACGGTTGTAGCTTTTCTCAGACGCGGAGGGATACTGACTTGTGAAAAGTAACTACAATTCTACCCGTGAAATACGCTCATTATATCACGGCTAAGAACCAATCAGATTGCTTGATTTGACTTGTCCGTTTTATAAATGTATATATACATATTCTGTATACTAAAGAAATACTGATACACTATTCAGGGTTAACCACGTCATCTTCTTTACATTTTGCAATGCTGCACTTCAATATATAACATTTATATAACAATATATAACATTTATATAACAATATATAACATTTATATAACAATATATACAGTGTTTAGCTGAATTGCTCATTTTTAAATGGTTGAGCTGCTGATGTTAACCTTTTAGTTTTAGTTTTACACACCTTAAGTTACGCTGCTGCCGTTTAAAATGCAAGCTATTTTGAAGTCATGTTGTGAAAAGGGAAGCTGGTGATGCTTAAAATATGGAAGACAGAAGGAGTGCAAGGTGATGAGAGGATGGAAATAAGAAGAATGGCTGAGGGTGCCAGAGTCTTTGACACCAGGGCAGAATTACTTCAATTACCTTCAGCCGTGGCTTCTTGCCTGGAAGACTTATTTCTAATTAAACTCCCCCGGAATTAAATGTAATTACCTGGAGGGATAATCAGGCTCTTTTAAATATCATTTAAAGGTTGCAATTGTCATGCTTGCCAATGTAAATCTAACCATCTTTCCTAATATGCACAGACTCATTATCTCTCTATTATCACCTCGTCTCTTCTCTTACTATCACCCCCGTTGTTTAGACATTTATCAACAAATGTCCAGGCCTCGATGAATCCTGGTGGGAAGTAGTGTAGTACAAATACTTTGTTACTGTACTTAAGTACATGTTTCTGGTATCAGTACTTTACTCCACGACTTATTACTTTGACTTCTTACATGTTGAACCCAAATACCTGTACTTTCTACTTCTTACATGTTGAACACAAATACCTGTACTTTCTACTTCTTACATGTTGAACCCAAATACCTGTACTTTCTACTTCTTACATGTTGAACACAAATACCTGTACTTTCTACTTCTTACATGTTGAACACAAATACCTGTACTTTCTACTTCTTACATGTTGAACACAAATACCTGTACTTTCTACTTCTTACATGTTGAACTCAAATACCTGTACTTTCTACTTCTTACATGTTGAACACAAATACCTGTACTTTCTACTTCTCACATGTTGAACACAAATACCTGTACTTTCTACTTCTTACATGTTGAACTCAAATACCTGTACTTTCTACTTCTTACATGTTGAACCCAAATACCTGTACTTTCTACTTCTTACATGTTGAACACAAATACCTGTACTTTCTA